TTATTTTGAAATAAAATGGTACTGGATGTATGAAAGTGAAATATTTTAAAGTTGTTGTATGAGATTGTAATAGACCTCAAACATGAGGGGCTACTATGTAATTTACCCAAAATTCACCTCACCTGAAATCTAATCAATCTGAATTCTGAAACCCTCAAATTTGTTTCTCTACTCCGCCGCCCCATTCAATTCCAATCCGCCATGGAAACCCAATCTGCAGCAGCGATCCTGCTGAAATCATTCCGCCTAATCAATTCCCCCGCCGCCCACTGCCACTTCTTAGACCCCTCCGTCGTCTTCCTCCTCCCCCTCTCTTTCTTCCTTTCCTCCATTCTCTTCCCATCCCTTCTCGACCGATTCCCCAACTTCCAAATTTCCACCTCCGAAGCTCAACAAAACCAACCCCCACAATCACCGCCAAAACCCTTTTTTCCTTTCTCAAGTTTGCCCTCTTCGTCCTTCTCTCCTCTCTCTGCGCCGTCGGATCAATCACCCACAGCGCCTTCCATGGATTCCATTGCCGCCCGCTGAACTTCCTATCCGCCGTCCGATCTGGTATCTCTTCCTTGTACCCTCTGTTGGGTACCCTTTTAGCTTCCCTGTTCGTTGTTCTATTGGTTTTGAAAACTTTTGCACTGTTCTTGTTCATGGCGGTTGGAGGGCTGACCTGCTGGGGTTTCCGGTGGACTACTTGTCACCATTCTTTACCGGTTTTGTGGCGGTGGTTGTGGCTGCTTTGTTGATGGTTTTGCTTTATCTTCAAGTGCTCTGGACTCTGGCTCCTGTGGTGGTTGTGCTGGAATCCACTGGGGGTTTCAATTCCTTGATTCGAAGCGCGAGGCCGGTCAAGGGAGCGGGGACGATCGCGGTATCTTTGATGCTGGTTTTTGGATGTCTGTCTGGGGTTTTACGGGTGTGTAGCTGGGTTTTGGAAATGGGGATTAATGAGGCTACTAGGTGGAAGAATTGGGGACTTGCAGTGCTATTAGGAGTGACTACTGTTTTCCTAATGTTACTTATCCTCCACAATGCTGCGACAAATACGGCGTTGTACCTGCATTGTAAGGCTGCACATGGTGAAGAGTTTGCTGATAGCTGTGATCATTTTCCCTTGCTCGTGGATGATGGAAATTGCTGATGCTGTTTCTGTAAGGCTTACTTGAACCAAATGCTTATGCTACTTGTGTATGTTATTGTAGTTGTATTTGTTTAGTTGCAAGTCAAGCAGCTTCAGTAATCTAGTAGAATTAGTAAAACTCTTTACCGAATTGCTCATGTTGTTTCCGTAAGGCCGAATTGCTACTTGTATGTTAATAGTATGCTATACATGTTTAGTTACAAGTAAAACAGCTCTGGTAATCGAGTTCCAGTATCTGTTTAACCGTTAGATTGTCTCTTTCCTGTTTCCTCTTTCTTTTCTCTGACTTGTTCTCGTGGCCAAACAAGTTTAGTTTTCCTTCCAGTATACCTGTAACCATCGACTCCCATCCAAGTTCTAATAGAAAAGGAATATAATAATACTAAATAACCTAATAAGTAATAAGCTTCATGATTCATGAACGAGCAAAAGAGACTAGGCACTGCAAGCACTGATGGATCAATGCACTTACAAGGGTAGATCAAATCTCCACCCTTGATCCGTCCACGTTGAGACCCCAACTTGATAAAGTCAGCCTCATAAGAGCGTCTCCAGTGGAGGTACCAACGTAACATCGTCTATTATGGTGTTAGGACCAGCCAGATGAAATGCAGGATTGTTTTGCTAGAGAAACGAATTCATATACATTCAAACCAGATTATATTATTATAGATTTCCATTGGATAAAGATAAAACTGCATGACCCTAAGAAGGGAACACATACAGTACAGAGTACATATTATTTGGCTCCACACACCTCAACTGTGGTCAATGTACATTGTGCATTCGAGTGACTAGGTCTTTATTGTGACTTTTGAGATCTTCATGCGTAGGTTGCCTCCACAGCCTCAACTTGTCTCTCAGTTGTTTTTATGTCAACTGCAGTGCTTGTTTTCTTGTTTTGGATCTTACTTTCTGTAATCACTGAATCTGTTCTGTTATGTTTTTCTTTGTCATCTCCATTCTCAGTATTATTGCATTCACTGATTGTTTTAGTCCAACCACATAGTTGCTCAGTTGCTGCATCATCTGTTTACAAACACCAAAAAATAGTTAAGGCCATGTTGGTATAGAATCTGTAGATACATGTGCATGTGAAAGTGCGTTGTGCATATATATGCACCGAAAACTAGTTGAGACGAACCTAGCCTTGGGACAGTATGGCCGTATGGGTGCCTTATGATGAGTGGGTTATCAAATGCAGTGGCAAAATCCTCCGAAGGTCGTCTTAACCAGTCTTTAGCTCCTATGAAGTGAACAGATTTGGCCTTGATAGGGTCTTTGTAGGCAATGTCACATATGCTGGGATCTCTGAACATTGCTCCTGATATTGATATACAAAACTTGAAAGGTGGATGATCCTTCAAAACCTTACCCTGCATCCCCCAAATTTGTACTTCAACTTCAATATGATATATTTGTATGTCTACATGTACAATCTTTCTATGTTAAGGGTGCCCTTAACTTTCTTAACCATGTTTCGTTAGATAAAGTTGAAATGAAAATGCATACTGTTGAACGGCTAAACGATACATATACCTGAGCTTGGTAGCCCAACAGGAGTCCTGATAGCGTCGCACCCTGCATAGAGATTTTGAGAATGTGGATTGAGCCCTGTGGAAGCAAACATATATATATATATGTGTGTGTGTGTGTGCGTGCGTGCGTGCGTGCGTGTGTGCGTGTACCTGAGAAAACCCAAGCAGACCATCAAAAGGGCCCTTAGTTGTTATGTAGTCGCATACATAAGTGATGCATTCTTCCAAGTTTGTGTACTCTGTGAAGTCCTGATGAACAACACCACAACAATTCAATTCATTTTCTGTGGATATCCTTGGGAAGCAGTAATGATGGTTGATGCGGTGCGGTGGTGACACTCATCACCATCATCCTCAAGCCTCAAGCTCGAGGTTTGAGGTGGTTAGCAAAAATGCACTCTATCAGTAAAAGTGTGTAATATTTACCTTGTCAAATTGAAACCACTCGTAATAAGGTGGTGGGTAGATGCCTTCAATGTCAGATTTTCCAGCAGCAGGAAATATACCATCGGGAAAATCCTGTAACCATAAAATAACCACCATGATTTTATATTTTTAATATTTCATGATCTCTTAAATATGTTTCAATTTTCTACGATCCAACCGTGCCCAAAAAAAAAAAAACAATTTTTTTTCAAATTTAGAGACTCCGGGCTGGATTGGTATTGTTGTGCTTTGAAAAAAAAGCTGCTATGAGAATAATCAGCTGTAACTGTGAGAATAAGCGGCTGTGAAATAAATCGGCAGAGTCTTTGGTAAACTTTTTCGTAAAAGTGCTTTTGGAAAAAAAATCAGTCTGATAGTGGGTCTTTTCATTAAAGGAGCACTGTGTGTTTTGAAAAAAAACCAGTTTTCCAAAGCTGCAAATAGCAGTTTCAGCTTTTTCCTTTGATTTCAGTTTATTCTCACAGCAGCTTTCAAAATAAGCCATTTTTTTTTCAGTTTACCAAACACCTAAAATCTTCACGGTTTTTTTTCATGGGTGCTTTTTTTGTTAGGACCTCACTCCCAAACCACCCCTCCGTGTTGGCAATAGGACCAACTAACTGCTGTAATATTTCTCTTTTCAATGTGAAAAAAAAAACGTACGCAGGTGCATAGATACATACCATGTCAAATTGAGAGGCGATAGAAGGCCATTTGGTGGTAATTTGGTTTTTGAGAAAGCTGCCGCTGGTTCTAAATCCATGGAGGCAAAGTATCTTCATCTTCTTCTGGCTTCCCATTGAACTCTCTCTTTCGTCTCACCACCACACTGTTCACTTCAATCCAATGCACACTTAAGAGCCAAATGAATGAATACAAATGAATGAATGCATAATATAGAGTAGAAACAGAGAGAGAAAGAGAGGAACGTGTTTCCATCTACCTACTTAAGACCCAACTACTCTCTCTCCCTCTCTCTCTCTCGTTCTTGTGGTTGGTTGGTGTTCCACGTGCAGTCCCCTACTACATACTTTGAAGCCACAACGACCCTCTACTCTTTAGTATGAATGTTACACGTCTTTTGATATTCTCATATGAATGTTACAAGCTAATCGATAAATTGTGTAACAATCATTTTTAAAAGAGATATCAAATCTTAGGTAGCGATATGATTCTGCATATTTGACATCAAAATTCTTTCAACCCTAGTGTTTAGGAGTCAAATTTGACTGTACACATTTGCTGACTAAATTTGAAGTCTTTTTGTATAGGAGTCAAATTTGACATCAATGTCAAATTTATTTTTAATTAGTTTAACATCCCTTATTCCACTAACACCTTAACCAACAAAAATTTGTTTCAACAATTTTTTTTTAATAAATACAACCCATTTAAAACTTTAATAAAAAAAAAACAATATTTGACATAAGACTAAAGATTGTCACATCAACCATCAATTGTAATTTAATTATAATAATTAGACATTTCCATTGAAAGTGGTCTCACAAGTCCAAAACCAATAATGTTGGATTAGAAAAAATAGCAATCAACCGAAAACTATGCACATATATTAATTGAAAAATCATGAAAATATCTAGTTGCTTTCTCTTAGTACAAGTTCAATTATCCTTTAAAGGGGACAAGGGTGTTTCGTGGTGTAATCTAATCTATTTAACGGCAATTACGATAAATTTGGATGGTGATTTTAGTTGATAAATGAACTGAACATTTCGGCTAGGGGTGCCCTCAATTCTATTGACTGAGAGTGAAAGTCGAGCCACTCTTACGACTCAACACGATAAGTACTTGCAGACATAAGCATAGCCAAGTTTCAGCAATTTAAATCAGAGCACCGTAACCTTGTCAGAAAATACCGCAGGCATATCAAGAGAAGAGACTAACGAAAACGAAAGGGGCGGCAAGCGGGTAAATTTAATCCATCACTCTTCCCAAATTCATGTATTTTACATGCATTTCGGCTCTTTGGCTCTTCCATCAATCGAGGACAAATAAGTCACAAACTGCATAACACAAGTTCCAATCTCTTCAAACTTCATAATCTCTTCAAACTCTTCTTTCTCGCATCTATTTTCTTCTTTTCTACCTGCGCTTTTGTCAATCCACCTTCCTTCCTCACCGTAGTAGCAGACCCACCTACTCCCGTCTCCATTGGAGCTACAACGGGTGCCTGATCCTGACCATTTCCTCTAGTGGCGACTGTGCTAGGTGCCAGTAGTGATGGGGATGCAGAGATCACCAGCAAAGCAGCACCGGGTGCTGTGTTCTTTTGATCAGCATTAAGTGTCAAAGTGTTAGTTTGATCAACGTTCAGTGCAGTTGTCGACTCTGAAATAGCTCCTGTTTTAAACTTGTGTTTTGGCTTAGCATGGATTCCAGTATAAAGCCTACATGCAAGAAATGATGTCTACTTAAGTTGCACAGTCATGTGTAATAATATTATCTATAGTTGGTATATGCATCTTTCGGTTTCTATAACAATTGAGATAAAAGCCGGCATGAATAAGTTCCTTCCCCTGCTCCATTTATCTGAACCCGAAGCAGATGACATTATTACTATAGCTCACCTTGCATGTCTTGCATACTCCTCATAATTTTCAAGGAGCATCTTGCCTGCCTGTTCATTCAAAGCTGATTCTGGAAATGGTTCAATCAATAGACATCTAACTACCTGTTATCACAAAGCACGGAGCCAACACAACTTGAGTTTGTAAGAGAACACAAAAATCTCAGATGAATAAGCAGAAATGAAAGAATATAACTGAACCATCAAGGGAACTTACAATCAGAACATGTCGTAATCCAAGACTTGGATTCCAATCCTTTTTCAAGGTGTTGACACAAATCTCACCGTTAGTCGCAATGTTTGGATGGAAAATCTTCGTCAGGAAGTAGCCTACAACAATTATTTTCCAGAAATTATAATCCAAATAGGGACTAAAAGAGTTATACTATATATAGGCCTTTCATCAACAAAAACATCTTCAGTTGTATGGTCACACATTCCAAACAGAACGAGGGAACAGAAATATGACATGTCCAGTTAAATGATAGTGTTATCAATTACGTCATTTATGATCATAGTCAAACAAACCTTTAGGAGGAGAGTGCGGAAAGTCCCTAGACAATAACAACTTCATGTGGAAAACACCATTCTCATAAGGAGTGCCAGCTGCAAGGCCAAGACCGTAGCTCAGTAAATATCTCAAAATTATTCAAACGATGCAGGAGCGAAAGACTAAATTACAATTTACGGCAAAAAATAAACGTGCCTGGCCCTTCAATATCAGCATATATGATTGAAAAATCATCATCGTTAAGCCCAACTTGAATGCCTTCAGGAGGGGATTCATCAAGACTCTTCAATTCCTTCGCAAGTTGCTTAATTACATTTGGTGGGAGATTTTCATTCGTAGCCTGAAATGTTACATGACCAAAAGAATTGTAAGAAGAGTTTGAAAGGAAAAGGACGAAGAAATCATCAGTTGCAAACTGCAAATAAGAAGAAGCATGACAATCCATTTGTTTCAAAGAAGAAAGATAGACTCCAAATAAACCAAACAAACAATGTGTGCACATAAACTCTGAACCGCTATATTCCCATGTTTATGTTTCAATAAAACAAGGATTAATTATTTACACCAGGAATGGAGTTTCATGCACATACGTATTGCTGTAAATTGTTAAACCACCATGTAGTCTCAAAGTAAAACGAAAATATCTCAAATTAGTTTTGGATGAATAAGCATGCAATTAAACATCTATCTGCCTTTGATTTAGTCCAGTGCCAGTGCATGGCGACATACTAGTCCATATAACTATCATGTTCTTTTTTATTATAGTTTGGCAATGGTGAAAAGCAAAAGAATTAATTTTTATGTACACAGACACAACATTACCATAAGAAAAAAAAAGGAATGAAGTCCTCAAGAAAACTTTGGCTACCAAAAAGAGAATCAGCAATTCAGCTTTTTTTTGCGCCACAAAATTCCCAACTGCACTGATTAGAGTGCTAGAATAACGCAAGCCGTAAGCCGATATGCCTGCAATAACAAACTAACATTTAAATGAAAAATTAGGAAAGTATAAGTAAGATCAGTGATGTCTCATAATGACAAATAGAAGACAGAATGAACAAGCATGAGACACAAACCCTTGCTGCTCAAACGTTAAACAGAGTATTATTAGCATTTGATTGCCAACAATAACATAAAAACTGTAATGCAGACAGCAGGCAAGTAGGTAGGTAGATCTTAAGAATATCTGAGATTGCATACAAGACAGACATGAACACATTTTGCATAAACTGTTTGGCCCGTGCAAGAGTCTTGATACCAAGAGCCAATCAATCAAACGATATAGTTTTTCATTAAAATCAATCTTATCAGACCTTGTGAATTCATTCTGTTAGCTATGGAATACCAATAATATTGAAGAAGTAGAGGGAATGGATTTAAACTAGTTACAATTTCTCTGATTCCCTGATAGAGATATTTGAAACAGAAAAAAGAAAGGTACAAAGTAATATGATTATACCGAACAAAACATTACCTCCCAAAACCATTGCGAAACATACATTCCCAAATCCTCATGACTATCAATCCAATCTTGTATCTGTCCCCTTAGAATTACCACTGATACTACCTAAACAGTTATCACACATAACTGATATTCACAAATCAAGTTTGACTTCAATTAAGTCATGCAACAATTAAATCTCTCCTCTCATCCTTTCGTCTTGTAACCTACAGTCTCTACATTCTCATTTTCTCACCTTCTTTTGCGAGACTAGGGCAGATTGCTTAGTTTCCAGATAACGGCTTAGTTGAGTTGATTTGAGCATCAAAAGTAAAGGTTTCTCCTACAATTTGGCTCTCTAAAAGGTTGGTTTGAGCGTGAGATAGGGGATCAATAGTTTGGAAAGCTGCAAAAGAGATTCGGCCTGTTTTTCTCCAATTGTTATATTTACAAAAATATAAATCAATAAAGTTTTGAATACAAGATATGTTTGAAAGAAATGATCCTCACAAAAACAAATATCATTAGAGTCATTACAATCCAAATTCCAATTACAGGCATAATTACTTTAAGCTAAAACTTAAGACACACAATGCGCTTTCAACGAAGGAAGAATATAAAAAGTAAAGAGAAGTGCAAAAGCCAGCATATTCCAACTTTTGAAACCTCTAAAAGACAAGCGATGAACAACTACATCCTGAATCCACTAACACCTAAAGTTATTACCAAAACCAGCTCACACTAACTTCACATCAATATCCACACAAATATGATAAAGTCAACAAAACCCAAATGGCTTATCTTTCATATAAGGAGAGGGAGGGAGGGAGAGAGCTTTAGCTTTCAAGAAAACATCCATAAAAACAACAACCCAGTTGCCCAGAAAGCAAGAAAAGCACCTCAAACGAGAAAACCCAAATTAGATCAAACAAGAAAGGTCAGGTACCAAAACCCTGATGCCCAAAAATACCAATTTTCCCCATTTTGCAGGATACAAATTACAGATTGGTAATTGTTTACTCAAGAAACAAAATCAGAACCACACAAGTCGATAATCGAACTCAGAAAAAGAACACCAGACAGCCAAGAAGCATCAAATTGACCAAAATGGCCGTCCAGGAAGACAGATTGAAGGCAAAAACCGAAACCAAAGAAAGAAATTTACCCGACCCAGATGAGAATTCGCCTATAAGCTCAGTCAATTGTTGTCCTTCAAGGCGACGATAGAGGGCTTAGAGAGAGACTTAAAGAGAGAGAGAGAGAGAGCGAGATTGTACTTGGAATGATTGAAAGGGGTGATTTTGAGGAAGGAGAAACTATGTATTATATTATTATTTAGACAGATAATTCAAATTTTACTGACTTACTTTTAAAAGTTTCAAATTAAACTCTTAAATATCAGTAAAATTTAAAATAAATCCACTCAACGTTTAAAAAGGACGGAATCAAAAAGTAGGTTTAAAAAAAAATATTAAATAAAAACCAGGTGACGCTCTGCATGAATCATGAGGGTTTTTGTAGACGTTGGATTGTCTATGGTAGCACTGGCAGCGGCAGTAGTGGCGATTGCAGCTTTATTGACGGTGATGGTGGAAACAATAGTGGTGGTGATGGCGGCAGTGGTGTAAGAATGATGGTTGGAGTTATAAGTGGTGGCGGTGACAGTGAGGGAGATGGCGATGACGATGGCGATGGAGGTAGGGTGCGACGACGGTGGTGGCAACAACAATGGTAAGGGTATGGTAGTCGTGCAAATAGTGACGTGTGGTGGTTGGCGTGGAGACGTTACAATCTTCTAGCAACGACAATGGTGTGGTGGCAGTGGTGGTGATTATGGTTGTGGTTGTAGTTGTAGCCTTATGACGGTGGTGGTTGGCGATGGTGACGACAACGATGGTGGTGGTAATGGCAGTTGTGGTTGTGGTGGTAGTGGCGGCGGCGGAGGTGGTGGTGGCTGTAGTGGTGGCAACGATGTTAGTGGTAATTGCATTATTGATGTAAGGTTAGTGGCTGTTGTTCAAAAGAGAAAATGTATGTAGATGTATAAATAATTTCCTTTTTAAAAATTAATGAGCATATTACATGAATTAAAATCATCCATTAAAGATCCAACTCGGCTTTTAAGGCTTTTAAAAGCAACCTACATGTTCATTTTAAAAGCTATTGTCTGGAGGACATTGATTTAAAAATAAGCATGATATTTTATTTTTAACAAACATCTTTTTTATTACTTAATTTTAAAGTGAAGCAATTATAGGTAAAAAAAAAAAAATGCAATACCAAGCGAGGCCTTAATCCAAATTCGACTTTTATTAGTTTAACTAGTCGGGTTAGAATTATGTAGAAATCGGTTTGATTCCAACTCTACCTCGAGTTAATGATCCAAACTGTCTAATATTTTAGGTGTTTTATCATAGCTCGTTTTTGAAAAAAAAAATCGCCCAAATAAAAAACCATAGGACTATTTAATAATGGACATAGTCTAATCAACATAAACTAGAGCTGCATCAAGACGAGCTAAGCCAGGTGAATAACAGTTACTTATGAAACGATCAAACATATTCCCTTCATTAGTGTTTTCAAGAAGCAATGTGTTTATCTATTTTCTTCATCACAATTAAGTTCGTTAATACTTTTAAATTCTTCTATGAATGTAGATTTCAGATTGTTAAAATTAATGCAAAGATATCGCACAAATAATCAATGGGAGATGAAAATGCCTTGGAATTGGCATTTCATTTTGTAGTGGCCGAAAAGCTCCAGTGGACAGGATATGAATATTATCTTGGCCGGAAAATGTAAATTTACATTTTTTTTACATCTTTTAGAGATGGACCCCACCAGTCAAATAGAGAAAAATGAAATTTTAAATTAACTTTTTTTTTATCCCATCGTAGTAGAACACACGTTTACATCTCACCAAAATGAAAATAGGACACAAGTGTAGCTTTGAAATCTCAAATTTACATATTTTCATTGAAAATGCTATTAAAACCATATGGTACTACTACTTTTTCTCACTTATACAATCCTAAGTAGTCACCACTTAAACAAAACAACACAAAAGTAAAGTCAATTGACGCGGTTGAGAGGCTATGTCCCGCCACCTTTTCGTATAATCATGTATATACAAATTATTATTATCTATTTTATCTAAAGAGAAATAGAGGGTGCAGCATAGACAGAAAGAGAAAACTAGAGAATAGGTTTGAGGAATTTTGTGTGTTATTTTTCAGTCCTTATGTCTTTATAGTAAACCAAGGATGATTCCTTGCCTTGCAAGTAATACAATCCTAAAGAGAAATGATCCTCTAGTATCCTAAATACAATCTACTAATGATTTACCTAACCATAGATACGCTAGAATTATATTCACAACACTCCCCCTTCATAGTGTAAATACTCAAGTAGACCGCGCATCATATCTTCATGGAAAATGTAGAAGCAGTTGATGAAGTCATCTTATCTCGTTGGCATAAGGAGCAAAAAAGAGTCTCAAAACAAACGGAAGAATGGATAGGTAGTAAAACTTACAAAATTCGCTATGGTAAAACCCAAGGTGGGAAAAAAACCCATAGTCTAAGGAAAAAAATGTGAAGTTACATTAAGTCAAAACTAAATGTCTTCAAGACGCAACAAACACTCACAAGGGTATGATCAGTCCATGATAGGTGTCTCATTAAAACCTAGTCAGGTAGGAAAAAATAGTGAAAAAAAATGCTCCTAATTGTAGAGAGAAAAAATACATTAAGCCGAAACGTACCAAAGGCACGTCTGGGACAGAGAACAAGAAGAAGCTGAAGGAATCAAAAGAGGTGACTCCGAAAGTGATTCTAGCCAAGGCATCTAAAAAGAAAATCAGGTTAGCGAGCGGCTCCAGAGGTGGCCAACATATAGCGTCAGAGACCGTTGATCTCACTTCTTCAACCAAGGAGAATTCGCAGCATGCTCACATTGTCTCAAGCGAAGAAAGACGTAAGTCCATTCTCGAAGAGGTACCAACGTAGATTATTTAGCCACTAGATTCTATCAATACACAGGTAGACGCATGTGTACACCCACATGCTTGTACTCGCACTAGTAGATGCTAGTATTTATTACTGTTTTACATGTATGAATTTTGAATTGTGATTGATGTGCTATTTTTCTGAACTATATATTGTAGTAGATATTAGTCTATAGTTTTCAATCTCTATTGAATTTTGCAAAACGGGGTTAGTACTTTTGAAATCGTTTGACTAGATAAATGATTATGATTTACTCACACTTTGTTTTTTGTCCTTTAGGATCTAGTAAGACTAAGGCAGCGTTTAAGGGCGAGTGGGCTTGGCAGTAGTGTAGTCTTCTTACTTTGTAGGGTGATTTACTTGTCTTATCTATCTAGTTGTAATAATGCATGATCAAACTTTAGATTATGTACTACTGATATGCTTGAACAATGTGTCCCCACTTTGGAAGGATGCTGTAGGATTTGCGAGATAATTTTAGTGTTAAATGAAATTGAGCCTTTTAATTCAAATTCGTTCATATCATTAATTTATTACCTATGGTTTCATCATCATTTTGATGATGGTTCATCATCATTTTGGTGATGGCCAGCACATCTCTGCCCATAGATTAATACTAGAACCCAAATCACACAATGCTTTTTCAAATAAATTAGTTGTAATAGTGTCTTGTAATTTTGAAACTCCCTCTATCTTTTTGTTTGAGTTGAAGCTCTCTTTGAACTACTGCACTACATTCTTAAGTCAACAAAATCTTCTCATGATCACGGAGTTTTCTTTTCTTCGAGATGATGTCCTTCATGAACTTCACATAATTAGGCATTTGCTCCGGAGCATCGACAAAAGAAATATTAATCACCAATTTCTTAAGAATTGCTAAGCACTTGGAATATTTTTTGTCATCTTTATTCTTGTTGAGCCGTTTTGCGAAAATTGAATAGGAGGCACATACAACTTCACAATAGGGGCAGGCAGCTTGGGGTGTGGCATGGCTGCAGTGGAATATTTTGGAGAAGCTTTTGCAATGGTTCATCTGGTGGCTAACGGCTATAAAACATCATGCTGCTCTTGTGCAGCTTTTTCGACCTCTTCCTCCTCAATATTGGGGTCCAAATCTGTTACAGTATTCACTTGTTTTCCTTTCCGAAGAGTGAGTGATTGCCATTACTTGCTTTTGATTTCCCAGATTAACTTCAGTTTGGCTTAGAAAAGAACGTTTTTCTCCAACAGCCACTGCATAAGCTAGCTAGCCTATTTGAACCTCTAAATTTTTTATCAAGGCAGCTTGCTTTTTAAGAGTTGTCTCAGTTTTGCTCAATAATTTGTATTGATGGAAAAAGTGTTTACAATACTGGCAAGCTGAGCAATGATATCTTCCAAATTATTCTTCTTCTATTGAGGTTACAAACCCAGGGGTGGTTTTTGCTCCTCCCCTAATTGTTGTTCTATGAGAGACTAAGGTGATTCCTCCATCCTTGATAAATATTGGTGTATGGATCATTACCTGGATGTCTATAAGCATTCACCATGTTTGCTTGCTCTTGAATAAATTATGGAAAATCAACTCCATACAGACAAGCAATTGTGGTATGCCCAGGAACGACACATATAGAACAAATCTCTTGAATTGGTGCTCTCCCCTTCATTACAAGCAAAGTGTCCAATTTTGCTAGCAATCACCTCAACTTGTGCCTTTGAAGTAAAAGCATTAGAATTATATATTAATCTCAAAATTTCCGGCACGCTTTCCTCTTACTTTAAAATGTTACGTTTCAACTTATAGAGTACCAAAAAGTGTTTGACATTCAGCTGGTGTCTTGTTCTTAATTGATCCCCCCACATAGTTATACACTGCAATTTGCTTGAAACAGTTAATGCCTTATAAAGTATCCACATGAGAACTAGAGTAGGTAAACTATAGTGTGGACAATGAATTAACAAATTATTGAATATCTCACACGCCTAAAAAAAGTGTCATCAGTCTGTTGAGTAAACAACATGGTATTATCTCTACGTGTATTAGTCTTCTGGTTAAAAAGAATTTCTCAAAAAATTTATTCTAAGGGGGGTGTATTCAATTGAGAATGTGAGAGATTTTAATGGATTTATAAATCCATGGATTTTTATGGAGTTTAAGGGGGGTGTATTCAATTGAGAATGTGAGAGATTTTAATGGATTTATAAATCCATGGATTTTTATGGAGTTTAATTGATTTGTAGAGATTCCAAATAAAATTTTGATTCAATTCCCTTGAAATCTCATGGGAAGATGTGAGATTTGTAGATGCTTAAAATACACTACGAAATCTCTCAAATTCCCTCTAATTCCTCAACTTTCTCAAATTCTTTAAAATCAATTTCTAATTGAATACACCTGGAATGTTATAAACTTCTTTAAAATTCTAATTGAATACACCCAGATTTCTAAGGATTTTAATAAACTATCTTAAAATTCTAATTGAATACACCTAAAATTTCAGAGAATCACTTGAAATCCTAATTGAATACCCCTAGATTCATTAAAAGAATTAAAATCCTTTAAAATCCCAATTGAATACACCCCCTAAATATGTTCTAATGCGTCTGGGTTCCAGGCCTCAAGGAATTCAACCATGTCTTTGTTTTGTCTTTCACAATGTACATAAAGGAGGGCATCATATTAAAATGAATATTCTTCAACTCCAAATTTCGGGCAACTGCAAGGAGAACAATGCTTGAAGGTGACGTAGGAATAGTCTGAATATCAAGGTCTCCCATCGTCTCATTTTGTTCAAATGTCATCTTCACCTCTTGCCAATTTTCTTTCTCACTAACTTCTCTTTGTTTCTTTTCGGAAAAAAAAAAAAAAAAAAAACCCTTCTCTTTGTTCCTTACGTATTTCACAAAGTTTTTTTTTCTCAATTTCAAGTTCAAACTCAAGTAGAACGCAACCCGACAAATGCGTACCAAGCATACACTTCAAGAAACAATGAAAAACAGTTCAAATGCACCGAAAAAAAAATTAACAAAATTAAAAAAAGGAAATAAAAGAATAAAATAAAAAATCACAAAAGTAAATTAAATTAAACTGGACCTAAGGCAATGGTGTCAAATACTTGTTGTCATAATTTTTCACGCTGCAAACCTAGAGTGAGTGGAGAATCCCGAATCTAGTGCGCGAGATGAAAATGAAATAAAAAGTAAGAAAAATGAGATAGGGGTGAAAAAAAATTCCTCTTATCATAAATCTTTTGAAAGTAGTCAGATAACTCATACATCTGTTCAAATATTACAAAAATATCATTCTTTCTTTTGGCCATCACGTTTTGACCAACATGTGAAAATCTAGATTAATAACATCTACACAGACACACACACACACATATATATTTATATATATCATATAAAAGAAGCCCATTGTTGCAGGCCTTCTTTTTTTTAGCAGGTGATTCACTATCCAAGTGAAGAAAGGGCTGGATAAAGAAAAGGGGGTACTGTGAGCCCTCTGCCCCACGCATCTAACCAGTTTGCGTGGTTCACCGGTTTCACCAACTAGATTCTTAGAGTGATTCAGTCGATACAGAGATGCACTTGAAGTGGGAATATCCATTTAGTACTACGATCTAATGGTATTTCTCTTCACTTGAAAGTAAGAGGTTTTAGGTTCAAATTCGTCTATTATGAGGCTAAGTTCACTTCCCTTTGTGTAGATTAGTTCAAAAAATAATTAAATTAATAAACTAATATATATATATATATATATATATATATATTTAAATACGGGTTCTCACATAATTACAAGTGTACACTATCATTCAAGTAACATAATGATAAGTAAAGTGTTGTTCCAACATAGATCAGATTAACCTAAATTTACTATTACGCTTAATGTAAATTAAAAATAAACAACACAAGAATTATTATGGCTGAACTTGATATGCAAGGGACAAAATACTATACACTAAACACTTAGACATTAGGTATTTAACAAATTAATTCAATGCTACAGCAATTATCCCTTAATTTGCCAATATTTCTTGTCAGAATATACTATTTATAAATCCAAGATATGGCTAGCCATAGATTTTGATAATCGAAATCCTTAACGCTCAATGGGTAATTATAAGAATTGCACAAATCATAACCAGTATGTCTGCTGGACTATGCAATTCATGGTAACTATTATGAGAAGCTACTTACTAAACTCAACATGTCAGTCATAATTTAGTTCTTCACACAAATACTGATAAGTTATTTGATAACAATAAAACACAATAACAATTTCTCATGGAGAATAACTGAATCAGGCGATCCCATTAATTAGGGTGACTTCAATGGCCCAAATTATTAAGTAGTGCACTAGCCCAATTTTGAATCTTAGCACAAATATAGTATGCCCAGCAGCCCACCTCAACTTTTCAGGTTTCTTGGTATTTTAATTGTCAAATCCATGTTTTGCTCCCAAATCATATTTTTTATAAAATTTGCACAAAACGCATTAAACTCAACAAACTACTATAAAACCATGACTAAATAATAGACAAAAGAGGTATGAAATATATGTAAAATCTCAACCTAACATCCACGTTTCATTCTCTTATTGTGGTTTAATTTCTTCTGCCCACATGCCCTTAAGTAGGAAATAAAATGAGACGTATTTCTTTTTTTTTTTATTAGGACTTTTCTTTCAAGACAAGGTAGGATTCCAAGTCCCGGTGGGAGAGTAACTCTTTTTTGTTCCTCACAAGGCTTTTATATGGTTAAAAGATAACCCTTGTAGAAAGTTTCACAAACCTTTACTTTTGAATTATTCAGGATTGCATGGAGAATTCTTAGTGAGAAAAGTTTCCGAGTATGCAAAATTTTCCCTCTCTTCTCCTTCTTCTTTGCATGACGAGGTATTTGGGATGGTCATACCCCTTCTTATTCCTCTCGTCATTGGCAGTGGCGAAGCTATGAATAGTTGAGGGAGGGGAGGTGAATAATAGAAAAATGTAGACAACCAAATCATTGTAGATAGTAGATAATATTAATGTAGTTAATAATCAAGGTTCTAACAAACGTTAAACACTAATCGGAAGGCAAATTGGGCCTAGCGTCTAGACGGAGTTTTAAATGATTTTAAGTAGATCAGTTATACCATATAAACACAGTGTCCTTCACCTTGAAAGGACTATCTTGTATTAGAGATTCAAATTTATTGTTCTCCTGTTTTATTATTTAAATATAAAATACAAGAAAATTAAAATTTCGCTTTATATTTTAATGAATATGATAGTATGAGAATGAAAGGGTATTACTAGAGAATGGTTTAACATTTCTAACATATGTGTGATACTTTCTAATTTATAAAAACTCGAACCTAGATTAATTAATAAAATAATATGAAATCTGAAATATTTACAAAATCTTAAAAAAAAAGAAAAAAAAATAAAAAAGTGGCTTCCAGTGTTTCATTGTAGCCCAACAAATCAAATGCATTTTAAGTTAAAAGGGAAGTTCTTCTTCTCCACCTCTTCTTCCCGCACTTCTGCAACAGTCGCGGCTTCGGCTCGCACCGGAAAGGCCCATATTTCGACTGAATCTTTAATATTCGCTGATAATACCTAAAGTTTTCAAAAGGCAATGCACGCAGCGGAGGTTGCACAGCAGCAGAGCAACCAGGGGCGTTTGCTTTTCGACTGACCAGAGGGGCGGCTACTCGCTCCTGGGCTTCTTTTCCAGCGAGAGGCGTAGCAGCATAACCAAAACCAGATAGCAGCAGCAGTAGAACTAGTCGGGTTTTTCCAACGAGAGCGACGCCAACTCCTCCTCACGGCTTTGGCCTCATTGGTGTGGAAAATGGCGCGAATGTGGCAGTAAATTAAGATAAGATAGGCTCGACTGGCGATAGGGGGAACTAGTTAGGGTTTTTTAACAAATGATATTTATCTACACTAAAAAGGGTGAGGGGGGCTAAACCTCATAATGGGCTAGCAATATTGCAGTTCAAATTCTCACTAAGTGGCTACTAGTTCAGCTACTTGAATTTTTTTCTCTTGTTCTAAATGAATCTAATATTGTTTGGGCCCAAGATAACACTTTGGCCCGAGCCTGGAGTTGCTTTCGGTCCAATGAGTATCAAGAATATTCTCTGCCATGGGCCGAGCTCAGTAGGGTTCGACGAATGTCCACCCAGAATGTTGATTTCCACTGGGATAAAAGTGAAATGGTCCAATCCTAATCCAATGAATTTAGTGCTAAAAGCTTCTGGATCAGGATGTCAAAGCCAGGGTTAAGATCTGGAATGATTTAATTCCTAGTCTGAGTTGGAAAAATTCTCGAGTCGTTTATTGGGGAAATCACTGCTATAAATAGAGAGGGGGTGCTGATAGGAGCATATTTATGCGACTTAGTTAGCTTATTTTTTGGTTGTTTTAGTTTCGTAGTATTTTAGTAATTTTAAGTTTTTTTCGTGTGTTTGTTAGGTCCATGGTTAATGTGGAAATAAGTGCCTTTTGGGAGCATTTTTTGGCATGATGTGGAAGCATTGCGGAGCAAAAGGAATGGGACAATATGAAGTTTGTGCATCATCCTCTCCCTATAAATAACCATTTTAGCACACTCATTTACCCCAAACATCCATCATTACACCACCCATACACAATTCACTAACATACATCCACATTTCAACACCCAACACATCACCTACCATACATCACTCATTACCACCCACACATCCTTCCAGCTATAAATACATCATCCACCTTCACCATATAGACGATTCAATCCAAAACACAAACACTATCTACACAAGCTCCACTCTTTGCGCTTCAGCCACTTTCATCAAACAAATCCATTATCTTCACATCCATTCTCCAAAACAAACAAACCTTCAAACACTCACCAACACCTTGTGCCGTAGCAAAGGAAGGGAAGAAAAGTGCTTGGACGTGCTTGCTGTCCAACTTGGATTGTTGAAGAGTTTAGGTGTTTTCTTTCTTTTGTTTCCAATGTTTAAATTCATTTTCTTTTGTTTTGTTGTGAATATGAGTGGCTA